TGTCCACGACCAAATGGTCAATGACTCAGTTTAAATTGGCTACAGGTGCGTTGCTTGGGCCGTGTGCTATTTTATTACTCGGTGGATCTTTATGTGCGATCATTATTTTAATTTATTAATTTGTGTATGTTGTTTGGTAAGAGATACCTAAAAAATCTAAAATATATACGTCTAATAACACTAGTAATACATATTTACACTTATACTGTTGACTCACAAGAGGGTAAATACATATAAATGTTGATAAGTTAAGTGGTGATCGATTTTGATTGGACACTTCCATCATCATCAGAGAATGGCAAGAATCAAAATGGCATCCCGTATATAGGCCTACTATTGGTTACCGGAAGTACCGGCCAATAAGTTTCTATAAGTACAACTGGAGTCAAGATTTACTTGCTCATTAATGAGCATATTTTTTACATTTTTTCCTTGTAAATATAAAATTCTTTCCAAGCATTTATCACATTTCCTTTATTACAATTCCTTAAAATGCCACCCGTACATTTCTTTAATATAGAATTCTTTAGTACAGTATAGTAAAATTAGTTTTTTTTAATCCCTACAAAATAGTTTAGGAATAAATTTTAAAGTTTGATGTCTTGGGGGTCAAAAATGAGAAATCTGATCATGCTGCGTGTAAACCTTGTCAAACCAGCATGATCAGATAGATATCCCATTTTACTTCTCATGCTGAATTTAACAAAAAGCGAACGATTTTTACTTAAGTTTTATTTCTAATGGAATTATCTTACACACACAAGCATATACAGGGTGAATAAAAAGTCAAGACCCCCCCCCCCTCTAATATTTTTCCAAGTATAAATATACAGAGATATCCTTTTGGTGGTCGCGCAAGCTTAGCAGGAAGTTTCATTTTATGATTTTGAATTTTTTGAGTGTCCCCCCTAAAGGGGGGATTTGGGGGGTAACTCAAATATTGTAAATGTAAAGCCCCTTCAAAAGACACGTCATTTTGAAGTGTTTACAAAAACTTAAAGAATGGTGAAAACTAGAGGTCGCTATCTGTTCTCTTTCCAAAATGGTAGCCCGTCAAATGTTGTAGAAAATCAATGGTAAAATTGGTTCGTAATGGTAATATTGGCTACCATTTTGGATAGAGAAGAGATAGCGAAGTCTGGTTTTCACCATTCTTTATGTTTTTGTAACCTCTTCAAAATGAGGTGTCACTTGATGGGGTTTTACATTGAAAACATTTTAGGTGCCCCCCAAATCCCCCTTTTGGGGGGACACTCAAAAATTTTAAACGTAAACCCCCATTTTTTGATACTTTGTTTTGAAGTGTTTACAAAAACTTAAAGAATGGTGAAAACTAGAGGTTGCTATCTCTTTTCTAACCAAAATGGTAGCCAATATAACTATTACGAACCAATTTTACCATTGATTTTCTACAACATTTGAAGGGCTACCATTTTGGGTAGAAAAGAGATAGCGACCTCTAGTTTTCACCATTCTTTAAGTTTTTATAAACACTTCAAAATGAGGTGTCACTTGAAGGGGGTTTACATTTAAAATACTTGAGTTACCCCCCAAATCCCCCCTTTTGGGGGGACACTTAAAAATTTCAAAATCATAAAATGAAACTTCCTGCTAAGATTGCACGACCACCAAAAGGATATCTCTGTATATTTAATGGGAAAAATATTAAAGGGGGGGGGGGTCTTGACTTTTTATTCACCCTGTATATGCAGCTACCAGGCGTGTATTGCTGTGCTTAACAACTATTATTTTAAATGGTAACTTGTAATTATGAAATGTATACCAAAAACAAAAATAGAATATTTATTTTACTTAATTAATTAATTGTCAGTGGATAAACAATGTTTTTTGTTTTTTCACTAGGTGTATAAATATATAACTTTTTATATTTAAACGTTGTTGAGTGCATAGGTGTGCTGCGATTGCGTCTTAATATATTAAGACTTATCCAAAAGTAAAATAGTTTGCTGCGCTGCATTCTGTGGAAACAGTGTGGAACTATTACAAATCATTACTAATACAGAATGTTGTGATTATTTAAACCTACAAAACAGTTGGTGAAAGTTAACATCTGGTTTTCAATTATTGAGCGGAGCGAAGGGAACCTCTTAACTACACTCCTACTTTTGTTTTACAAATACTCCTCCTGGACGGCTGTAGCGATCTGCAAGAACTTTAGCACAGTCATACTCATAGTAACCTACCATGGGAAGGTATAAATCTGAAATGGTACAAATCGGACCACAGGGCTTTTCCCTATGTGAATTTAAACTTTTAGAAATTTAACATGGGCCTTATGGGTTAATTGGTTGCCATGGCATTATTTGCGAGCTAACAATAAAAAGGTAAACATATTTTAGTCAACGAATCATCTAAAATACCTCATTACAAACCGTACAGAGAAAAAGATAAGAACAATCGGATAAAAAAGTAGCTATAAAAAGTAAAAAGAACTTTAAATATATATTTATATATCTATATCTATCTATCTATCTATCTATCTATATATATAATAGGCTAAGCCGTTTTTTTGTTAATCGAACTCCTCCGTTATTATTCGCCCGATTTTGACGTTTGAGGTCTCAAAATAAAGGTTAAAACGTGTAGTTGTGCCCAATGGTAGATTTTTTATAAAGTCGTTGGTAAGGGCGTCAGAGTCCCTTAAAGCCAATTTTTTCTCCATAAGGATAACACGGGAGATAATTTTTATTTATAAAAACATATGTTTTTAGTTTAAAATAGTCAAAGTCTACTACATAAGAAATTGGTGTGTATTATGCCTGTAAATGTATATTAAGTTTAATAATGTTTTGGGTAAATTAAAGTGTACTCATAATGGATCATACTACTTTATTTTAATGCCGAGAATAGTAAAATTTCGTTGAGAATAAGCTACCATGATTTACAACTGTACTGTAATATTTAAAATCACAAATCTTTGACATTCATTATTTTGACATGAAACAGCTGATCTACCAGACATTTTATTTATAAATCAAAACAAAACAAATCCCCTACTACAAGTTTGTTGCTATACAAATATATAAATTATTTGTCGTGTATTCTAAAAATGGGACCCCAGAAGATTTGGCTGTACACTGTTCAGGTCTTGATCCAATAGCCATAGCCACTGATTGATCGGGCAACTACACGCAGGAACACTGTTAACACAACTGCAGTTTGCGGCCCACAGGCTATCTGTTAGGCTTCAGTATTTTGCTGTTGTGGTAAGGTTACACTTCAATATATAGTTGACATTTTTACGAGAATTGAAGGTGAACGTCTCGGTTTAGGGAACAGTCAAAACTTCGAGCAGAGCTATATGAACCTTCATGACGCAATACGTGCACGAGCAGAAAATGAAAGAGTTCAAATAGGCTAAAGCTGATGGGAAGCTGATGGATTCCCTATTTTGCCAGCAAGATTGTTTAGAGTTGGATGCCCTGTTGATTTCATCCACCCAAACGTCGTTGAAAGTATACAAAATGGTAAAATGAAAGACCGCTATTTTAGCGCCAAAAAAAGTTACTGTGATTTGATCAACAACAAAGTCTTGCATAAATTGCCAGGTGAGCCCAAGGTGTACGAAAGCATTGATAGTTTGCTTGCAGATAATTTAAACGCCCATCTAGAATACCCAACAGAGTTTTTAAACAATATAGAGGTCAGTGGATTGCCAAGACACAGATCTTAAACAAGGGGGCAGTGGTTTTATTGTTGAAGAATATCTATACACCGGGCCTCATTAATGGAACGAAAGTGAACAAAATGGTTAACAGTTTAATAGGATGAAAAGTCCTAACTGGAACAAGTGAGAGGGACATATTTTGATTCCGATGATAAAAATGTGCTCGTCTGAAACAAACTTACCATTTAAAATGGGAAGATGCCAATTTCCATAAGCTTTGTCATTTGCAATGACAATCAATAAAGCACAAGGGCAATCACTTAAAAGAGTACCCTAGCACTGTTCTTACCCAGACCAGTTTTCAGTCATGGGCAACTATATGTTGCTTTAAGTAGGGCTACACATTTTGATGGTGTATGTATATTCATCGCGGAAATTTCTGACCGGGTGATTTCATGAATAAAAACTTAGTAGCCTAAGTTATTCAAGGAAGTTCTTTTGTACCTACATAAAGTAGATTTTTTGTGATTATTTTTAAAAGGGGTTTCTTCAAGAAACATTTTTATGTTCTTCAAATATGCTATATATTGGTTTTATTAAAATCTTTTATTAAATGTGTTTGAAATCTTAAAATAACTATAAAATGCTTGATAACTTATCAATTTACTAAATATAAGACATATACAGCTAGAAAATGGGTGGTCTGCTTTCCTTCTAAGGCTTCATTCATTAATGTATTTTACTGTATTTAACGACTTAAGAGTCAATGTATAACACGATGAATTTGTTTTCTAAATCCATATGTTTTTTTGCGGCGCATTGAGCCGCACGGGTTTACTAGTACCGGTATATAATATTAGGTTTATTTATTCTATTCATACAATATGCATATGCATTTGAACAGATAGTGTTTTTGGCCTCTGTGATATCAAAACAGAAAAGCACATTGTTCCTGGGTCTACATCTTACCATGAGACCCGTAGTAATAGTTTATTTCCTCTGGGAAATTTGCTAAGAAGGTTATAGGAATCAACTTAAATCAAATTACCATTATGAGTTTGTTAAGCATAATATTTATATGTTTAACTGTAACTACTCAAGCCTTAAGTCATTTGTACATACAAATTACTAAGAACTGTTTTAAAACTGTTCAAAGTGGCAGATTAAACGCTGATGAGTATAGTATTTATGATAAGATGTATTTTGTAGGCTCAGGATCTTGAGATCATGGGTGGTCTGGACTCAGCTGTCCTTTCTCTCTCTCTCTCTCACACACACACACACAAACTTTCCATCTCACTCTATCTAGTCTTCTACCAGCAGTCCAGCAGGTCTCAGAAAATACCAAACAATTTTACTACAAAATGTCTTTATTAAAAATCCAATCGGAATCATGATGTTGCATTACTCCAGGAAATCATAAACAATTATATTGATGTAACAAAATCTACAATATACAAATGAAAATAACATAACAAAACAGCTCCAGGCTCTAGAAAATTTGTTTAAAACAAAATAGTTAACAAAAATAAATATTGTACACTATGTCGTACCTTCTTAAATACATTGTATTTACATTGAGCATCGAAATTTCACACTTATTTGATGTGATAATTCCATAGATTTATGTTGCAGATTTGTCTTACTTGCCAATAATAATTGTAAAAAGTGAAGAGAAAGTATAAGTTTACTAACAAATCAGTTGGAGACAAACAATAAGATACTCATTATCAATAATGAGACTTAAATTTTGTAATCCAAAGTTGTTATACCATTTATAACAATTCAGTGTAAATCTACTCATAAATTTCACAGTCTGCTTGTGATGTTTATTAACAACATTGTTTTTCAGTAAGAAAAACAAATTTAAAATATAAAAAATTATTAAAAATTAAAACTGCAGTAAAAAACCAAAATATGTCTTTCAATAAAATAAATATAGTTTTAAAATTGTATTGATCATGAATTAATTTTTGTTTGGGTATTTACTTCAAGATTATATCAACTATTAATAGCTACCACAATTTTAACTTGGTTTTAAATATTCACTATAAATTTTACAGTTGATTTTTAGTTTGAGATAATCAGCTTATTGTAATATTATCAAGATAAAAAAGTAACATATTCTTTGGTGAAATCATTTTGTTAGATAGTTAGAATGAGCAGGAACACATATTATATTTGTACCGTTAAACCATTTAAGGATAACTTTTTAGGCCTATATTTCATAATTAATTAAAATATATGAGATTAAAATTCTATCAATTTGAATCCTGAATGGACTTACATAATAATAACTTTCGGTAGCCTACAACAAGAACTAAACTCATTACCAATATGTAAAGCATCTGTAACTGGTTCATCTTATTTTCTCTAGGTAGGTAATGAATGTTTTTTCTCAACATCTTACCCTTCCACAGATTTTTAAAATTTATAATTTTGACAAATAGGCTAGATTATGAAAAACATAGACTGAAGATTAGAAAGCCTAATAGATTTCTACTTAAAAAGTTAAGTACATTTTGTATTTTTCCAAAAAACATTTTCCAACACATCGTAAACATTTACATTTGTAAAAAATAACAAAGTAAAGAATAAATAGCTCTAGATTTGCAAAATCCATATAAAAGTTTACAAATCCACATATACTATTCTTTGGTGTTGAAATTTATACATTGTCCTCGGACCTCTTTGAGAGGTTTCAAGGTTTCAAGATAAACAGTCCAATAATTGAGAAGATATACAAGATACAAACTATTCACAAATATTTACACTTATAGGCTATACATATAGACAACTGTACAGGTCAGAAGTGATGCAATAAATACTGAGTTAAGGCTGTGTGAGAGGAACTAATGCTGCGGATGGTAACTGCGGAACTGCGGAAACTGCTGCGGAACTGCGATGTGATTGCGGACTGAGGTAGGCTTCATTGGTTCTTAAAGCTGTTTTCACATGAGGAAGCAGGCCTGCAGAATATGTGCAAAAATTAGAAGTTGTCAATTTTATCCTGACCAATGGATTTTTTCTTAAGAGCTTGGTTTGGGATGGTTTCGTTTCATTTTAAAATGAAGGTATTCTTAGAAAATAGAAGAAACCAAATTAAACGTACATCGATGGGGCTTAAAACTGGGTAACACTGTAAATTTCTCAAAAAGCTACTGGCTTTTCTCGGGATCAAACTGGCAACCATTACAAAAAAGGATGGACTAAGTGTTGGACACTAGTAAGGCAAAAAGTACATCAGTCAGTAAAAGAGAAAGACTAGTTTATGTTTACAGAGTATATCAAAGTTTTTCCTCCTGCTTCTATGTAGCACATTCGGCAAATATTGTGGGAATTTGGTCGAACTGGGACAAGATCACACAAGAGAATTTGAAAACAAACAGGAGGTCCCTTGAATAGTTGAAGAGAACCGTGTAGTCTCTGTTTTCGTTGCTACATCCCTGAGCACGCCCAAAACAAAAAACTCACAGAGAATTCCTCTGACGGATATGAGATAAGAATACACTTTTACGTTCTTCCACAAGATTTGCTAAGTGTCTTACTCCTATAAGATGTGTGGTTTTTTTTGCTGAAGCAATGGAAATTCTTTCATTTGCGCTTTGTTTCCAATAGAGTTACAAATTTGCTAATAGCTTAAACAATAAACATAAACCTACCTTGGTCATGTGGCGAGCAGGCAGGTCAACATCAGTATACACACAAATAGCCAACGAGGTTGCACCATGACCCCACTGCCTCCTTCTTCCACCCCTGCAGTAGGCTCCTCATCTACCGGGGGTGGCGGAGGCTCGGGCTCCTTGTGGAAACATAGCCTCGCCATGTTAATATGGATCTGTTCACAGTCATATTCCTCTCTTCCGTCACACACACAGGTCGTCAGCTTGGCAGCCTGAAACAATTTAGGGGTTGTAAATCTAGAGAATTAATTCCTTACGATTGGTGAGGTTTGAGAGTGAAAGGGGAAGTTAGGATGTAAAATGAGTTCTGGAGGTTAAAGGGTCAATTCTTTCAGTGAATGTTAGAACTTTTCAAAAGTATGGAATTTGTTGATCTGAGCCTTCGTTTTGAAGACATGTTTTACTTAGGTAGAAAGACTTTCAATTTCTTTAAATGTTCATAAATTTCCTTTAGCAGCCTATGTATATGAGCCTATTCATCAGCAGTAATCCAATAATATGAGTACACAATGGAAAATCTAATAAGAGGAAATATGTATACTTCATAAACAATATATTTGCTTGTATTTTTTTATATATAAATTTCCAATCTAATTGTTTGTGAAGATTCAGAACCTTACCTTTTCCTGTCGTCTGAGGATACTGATGCTGTTCTTGCAGCGGTTGGAGCACTTGCGGCCCAGAAACATGCTGCGGCAGTATCGATGGTAGTAGTCCAGAGCCGTGCTGCAAACTCCGTCAGCTCCACAGATCCACTCAGCAACTCTGCACGATACGATGGACTCGTTCCTGGTGGCTCTCAGTACATGAGGTCTGCACACCTCCACACGCTCCTTGGTCTCTTTACACAACTCGTCCGTGCACTCACACTGAAACATGGTTACACTGTTAGGATGTGTTGGAAAGTGCCATTAATATAGACTAAGTGAAAGCCAAGGGTATTTTCATTACCTATAATTAATTAATCAATGACAGAAGACATTAAATTATGATTCGATCCTCTTCCGGAAAGTTTTATGTTACCAAGTCAAATGACCATTAAAGTTCCAAAGACCAGCAATTATTATTGACATAACTTCCGAGAAGTGTATTAGTCGAAGGAGGTCTGTAGAGGAATCAAGTTTATTTTTCTTCAATGATGAGACAATGAAACGCTTACATTTTTATTTAGGTTAATGCAAAAATATGGTCAACTAAACTGTTGACGATATTTTACTATAGTTGTTGCATACTAAACTCAAAGTTTATTGAAACACACAAGTCGAGCCACATCATTTTCAATTTTTATAACAATGTAACTAGTACAAACTAACAAAATTACTTTGAACGAAATTGATAAGGTTTAAATTAGAGTTTATAGTAAGAGATGGCAGTTTTAGCACCAAGTTGTTTTTCTCCCTTTCCAGATAGTCCCTACAATTTTTCTTCCTTTCTAGACAGTCTCTACCATTGGGTCGGATTACGTTACAGCTGCTTTATAGCTGACGGGACAGCTCTATTGGAGCAGGCCAGAGACCAGAACACGACGGGGCAGCTTACACTACCTGGGCGTGGGTGGCGTTACAGACAATCACGTGACTAGAAATGGCCTACTTAGGTCTTCACTGTCACTGTCACTGACAAGGCGAGGAATGAGAAGGGAAGGTAAAACCAAGAAGGCACTATATGAGGAGCGAACTATGAGTGATTACAACTTTATACCCATTTTCATTCTGCTAGAATTTTCAAATAATCGGACGGTGGGATTTACATTTATAGCTATTTAGGAGAAAGCTACATAGTTGCAAAAGAAGCGCATTCAGTATCCTAATTTTGAACAGCACACTTCTACAGGTTTTATCGTATAGCTTAGTAAAAATTATAGGATATTTCAACTTCAATTTCACTCCCTTTCTTAGAAAATTTTGTCACTAAATTCAACGCACTTTACCGAAGGATTTTCAATTGGAGGAAAGGTTCGTTACTTCGTGAAGGAGAAATCAAACTACTCTGGGATCCCCGGCCAGCAGCACAATGTGTATATTTCTTATCGTATTTGGTACACTGGAAACTATAGAACAAATCTATACCGAATATTACACTCTTGACAGTAAAAAAAAATACTAGCTAACAATTAATTAAAATTTAATTTCTAACTGTTGTGACTTTTGGAATCGCCTCAATATCGTCGGAAAGAAAATGTGCTAAGTTACAACTCTAACCACAGAAAACGTAATTTAGAAAAAAATTCCAAAAATTCACTTGATTTTGCACTTACGCACGAACTGCAAAATTTGTATGACTCCTGATTTTAACTAGTCGTTTCATGGCGTAGCAGAGAAAAGCTCATGTAGATAGGCCAGTATAATCTACCCAAGTTTCCTCATGTGGACTACTTACAGACATGAGGTCCTTGCCCTCGTCAGTGGAGGTGAGAGCTATCAGCGCGTGCTGACAAGACTCAGGACAATGAGCACCGCTGTCCCTCAGCACGCTGCTGCAGCCGACCATGTAGTTCTGCAGCGCCATGCCGCAGCCCGTCCTGTAGGCGCACTTGAGCCGCGCCTCCTCGCAGCTAACCTTCCTGTGCGGCTCAGATCCACCGGCGCTGGTACACAGGAGCACGCCCGCCACCACCAGGAGAAACATCACCTGAAAAAGTGGCAAGATTAAACTTTGTGTTTACGCCAGTGGCATTGTACAATCTGCAAGGGGACGGTCCATATTATGGTTTTGTTAACATCAAACGCCGTCCTTTGTTAAATAGCATTAATTGATAGTAATGTAACCAAGTGTGATACATTTGTTTCAGTAATATGTCCACTGAAGTGACTGGTATCTGTACTCAATAATATGTTACCGAGTAGTATCTATGAGGAATGGTATTACCCTTTTTACATAGTTAAAGTTAGACAGATGAAGAGTTCCCTTACAAACACACTTTTACAAGACAAAAGGTGCTGAACCTTTGTATAGTATTATCTGGATATAGTATTTAGTATTATACTGTTTAGAAGTAATTGATCAAAAATTAATGGAAACATCAACTGTCTATGTACTGTAAGGCGAATTTGTTTGTTAGCGTTGATGTGGGTGGAGTGGTTTATACACGACGTTCACCATGTGAGACTGGTGTCATCACCTGGAAGAGGGGAACTATTTAAGTGTCCAAAGGTGTTCCGTAACCCCAAAGGACTCAAACAACTGATTTTGCTACAACTATTCACACAAAAAACACTATACTGCCAACAATTATGTGTTTCATTTGCATCTATCAAAGTAGGTTAACACAATTAGTTGATTTATTCAACAAACATAAGTAATTCTCACATTTAACGGTACGTGATATTTGGTCGTGTAGCTGTGCACGGAATTTATTGTTTTAACCCAAACGCAAATAATTTAGATTACTCGTATAATGCAAGACTACCATTTCTAAAGACAGCAATTTTGTCTTTGAGGCAAATAAATTGCTGCGGATTAAAGTTTTATCACATATTAATCCCTTATAGAATTATGGCTCTATCAGTACTTAAGTGTGATGTGTATAGGCCTACATTTAGCATCTTTGTGAACCATTGAATCAGACAATATATGTCTCTTTTTGTTTTTTATGTTATTTATTTTAGACTATACTAGCAGAGTACCCGTCCTTCGTACGGGGTTGGCATATAAGTATCAAATGCTTATAGCAGTTATGAGTGAGGACATGGTTTAAGAAATTTCGGTTCTTTTTGAAGTTCGTTCGCTACGCTCACTCACCTTTAGGTTGGAGCTCGTTCGCTGCGCTCACTTTCCTTCAGGTTAGCTCGTTCGCTACGCTCACTTGCCTTCAGGTTAGCTCGTTCGCTACGCTCACTCGCCTCCAGGTTTTGCTGTTGTCATAAATGTAAAAGAAATAATAGTGCTAGTGCTGCACCCTGTTGGTAATCCTTGTAACTTTTAATGCTATTCAACATCATAGAACAGAACCAACTTGTTTAATTGAAACAGCTGTTAAGATTCATTAATTCCATTTCTCATAAGGTTAACATGGGAAACTCCAGAGCCACTGGGGCGGAGCCCCGAAGGATTTTTGGGATAAAAATATGCCTATATGTTAATCGGGAATGTGAGCTATCATCATGCCAAATTTCAGCCCGATCCGACCAGTAGTTTTTGAGATTAGCTCATACAAACACACACACAGACACCACCTCTTCTTTATAATAGTACTAGCAGAGTACCCGTCCTTCGTACGGGGTTGGCATATAAGTATCAAATGCTTATAGCAGTTATGAGTGAGGACATGGTTTAAGAAATTTCGGTTCTTTTTGAAGTTCGTTCGCTACGCTCACTCACCTTTAGGTTGGAGCTCGTTCGCTGCGCTCACTTTCCTTCAGGTTAGCTCGTTCGCTACGCTCACTTGCCTTCAGGTTAGCTCGTTCGCTACGCTCACTCGCCTCCAGGTTGAAGTTCGTTCGCTACGCTCACTCACCTTTTGCTGTTGTCATAAATGTAAAAGAAATAATAGTGCTAGTGCTGCACCCTGTTGGTAATCCTTGTAACTTTTAATGCTATTGAACATCATAGAACATAACCAACTTGTTTAATTGAAACAGCTGTTAAGATTCATTAATTCCATTTCTCATAAGGTTAACATGGGAAACTCCAGAGCCACTGGGGCGGAGCCCCGAAGGATTTTTTGGGATAAAAATATGCCTATATGTTAATCAGGAATGTGAGCTATCATCATGCCAAATTTCAGCCCGATCCGACCAGTAGTTTTTGAGATTAGCTCATACAAACACACACACAGACACCACCTCTTCTTTATAATAGTATAGATATAGATAGATAACTTTGGAATGGTTACAATCAAAATAGAAGAGATATATTTAAACTCCCGCTTGACTTCTAGTATTGTAACCAAATAATAAAGTGCGCACTAACATTGATCCTAAAAGAGGAGGGACGTATTAAATATCCAAGTGTCAATCCAACGCCGCCACACGTCCTCACGGGTCACTGAGCTTTGACTCGAGAAACACACCAAAGCAATTTCAAACTTTAAAATTAGATGATAAGTCCTCTTTTAACATTTTGAGTTTTCCGTGTTGGTGTACAGTATCTTACTTCATAACTTTCATACATTTCATTAAGTCAAATTCAATTGGCAGTGCAAAGGACAACATTTCACTTTGTAGGCTACACACTATACAGTACCCCCGTAACTACCAAAAAATGTATAAATAATTTAATAGCGTGACAACGAAATGCCAAGAGCTTGTAGAATGTATTTGCATCTTACCAAGGCTTGATTATTATCGTGGCTTGACCTTGTAGGCAAGACAAGCCTTCTGTTCTGCGTTAAGTCGTTTATGCATTCCTTCTCCTCGAATACGAATGCATTCCTTAGAATTTTAGTCAATTTAAACCCATATATTGTCTTTATAGTTTTGACAGAATTCAGTTTTCTCGTTTTTTGACAAACATTTTTTTCTCTGGCTTGAATAGTGCAATTCTTGTCCGGTTTAAGCGTGTATAAGTCGGTTAGGTTTGAGTGCGTTGGTATCAATAAATACTTTTCCCTGGTTTAAGGTTATATTGTACAGTTTTTACTATATTCTTTCATTAAAATACTATTATTTTCATGGTTCATTATTGAATCCGGATAAAATTGTTAAAGTTGGTTAAACAAAAAGAAGCAAATATAAAGTATCAAAACACCTTCTGCATTAACCGGACAAAAGCATGCTTCTAAATTGTCTTCAGTTGATCCATCAGGTTTATGAATCCATACCAAAGTATGTTTCATAGAAGGCTCTCCCCCTTAATGTCTAATATCTCGAAACAACTATAGTGAAATTTTATTCTAGTTACTTGAAAGATTTTCCTTTCATGTTGTGAACTAAGGTACTAGTCCACCCATATTATCAACACTGACAGCTCGTCTATTCACAAACACTGAGGATCTACTAAGTAGTGATAAAGTATGTAAATCAACAAAGAACTAAGGAACTCAACTGTTATTGTAAGCTGAACCAAATCAACAAGTTAGGTATGAGTAAACGCAGAGACAATAGGAGCTAACGAGGCATAGTTTGTAACTGTCTGACGAGAAACAGCTGTGTTATTTTATTATGTTGGCACTAATCCTGGCTTGGGGTTTGGACAACTGTGTAAGCTTAATTAAAGTAGTTTCTGAAGTAAGAGGGAAGTGTCCACGCACTCAAATTTTCACCGTCGTATGATTAACGATGTTATACTATATGAATATTATTGGTAAATTTAAATGTATATTATGATTGAATTTAAAACAGTGAACACACCATATTATTAATATGGAAAGAACACATTTTGTAAATCTCAGTACAATATGTTGGTATACACCGTTTGTGGATACCAAAAAAGAGTACACTATAAATATTTTTACTCTGTGTTCATTAGGTTGGTCATATACTTGATACACTAAGGGGTTTCCCTGTTACATACATTTTCCAGCCGTCCTACTTATTAATTGAGGTGTCATTTTAAAGCTTTAAATCTAGCACACATGCAATTGTTAATTAAAAATAAAATTTCCTTTAGTGCTTTGTCTCTAACTTTCAATTTATTTTGCAAGGTTTATTTAGTTCTATTTCAACCTGTCACAAATATTTCCTGCAGCAATTTTGATATTATTAGCAATACGAGAACTTTCTAATGATGACGTCACGATACTATTACCAACGGTGCAATGACTAATTTTAGAAGCTTTAAAATGAAACTGAAGTTGGCCGATTTGTACTTCAATGTATAGCAACACCTTAGTTTCTGTACACTATATCTATATAAATAAAATTAGAGTTTTGTCTGTACATTGCTCAGAATTATATACTTTTAGGTTATTTTTACGTTTTATACATTAAAGAAGCAGAAACGAGTCTTATCTCAATTTCTGTCTGTCTGTCTGTCCCTTTGTCTGTAACACTCAAGATGGCATTTTACGCAATCTTCTCCGTGAAAACCAGAGTACATATTAAGATCCAAGTCATTTTAATGTATTCACTGGATTGGCGAGAGTGTCTTTAGTGATTTAAATATAGCCTCACTACTTTGTAAATAAAATTACGGACGTTCAAAAATGCAGTTTTGTGCGATTTTTGTCAAATTTTCGTTCAATTTTTATCACATAATCGTCTATGAAATAACGAACAGCTGTTCGGATCAAGATTATTTTTTCTAGCTGTCAATGACATGTTTACAAATGTTGTTTACAAATACCGCAACTATTTCGAATCACGTTTTGAAAGCAAATCCCAACCAAGTGAGAATAAAAACGTTTTTCTTACATAACGGATTTAATTAATCGCAAGTGCAATAATATAGTCTAATAGTGTAACCGTAAATGAAATTAAATAACTAGACATCGTCCAAATCGGAACCAGAAATTCTTTGAGTATAAAATGTTTCTTGAGTTTTGACAACCAGAAAGAAGAAGACCTTGAATCAGTGTTGTATAGGGCTGTGACACTGAAATGATCGTCGCCAATAGCTTACAAAAAAGGTTTCCACTCATTGACGGCGCTTCAATGGCGGTTGTGTAAAGTGTAAAGTAAAAAATCACAACTGCAGTGGGTGATTGTAACAGAGGTTTTACAGAGGAAGTGCTAAACTCGCTTTTCCAATGT